ACTTTTTTAAGATGTTTCGGTATATCAAAAGATAAAGTTACTAAAAATTATATTCTTGTCATGGAATATGCTTTAGAAGGTTGCTTACGCAAAAATCTACATGCTATATCACAAATGGATTGGAATGATAAATTAAATCTATTACAATGTATTGCATCAGATCTTCTTATAATTCATTCTCATGATCTTATCCATCGAGATTTACATAGTGGAAATATACTACTATATAACTTAAAAAGTGCTATTGCAGATTTAGGGCTTTCGATTACAGCTAATAGTGCATCAAAATCAAGATCTGATGGAGTTTATGGAGTTTTACCATACATTGCTCCTGAAATTTTGAACCAACATCAATATACTAAAGCATCTGATATTTATTCATTTGGTATAATAATGTGGGAAATTTTATACGGTAAACCTGTTCCTTTAGAGCAAAAATCAGACTTGCAATTCCAATTACAAGTATGTAATGGATTACGACCACATATTTATGAAAATACAGCAATATCTTATGCAAATTTAATGAAGAAATGGATCCAAAAATTCGACCAACAGCAAAAGAAGTTTGTGATACTTTTGTAGAATGGCAGAATAATGAAAATATTTTATCAGAATTATCTGAATCCGATGAAAAACTAAAAAATACAACAAATGAAGATATGAAAATAGATATTGAATCACATTATAAAAGTAGATTTATTTCATTTGCTAGTAGTTATAAATATCAAGGTAATTATGAGTTTTGTTTGCTTGATAAATTATATTATTCTATCAGTAGCATTGCTTGACTATCTTTTTATAGGTAGTAAACTACATGAATTGAAAATACCGAATATTTGATAAACGAAAGCATCCCTCATAAATTGAAACAAAAAAATATGGCATAGATAATAATCTTTACCAATACATAAAATTAAACCCGATCATACCTGATAATAGAACGATAGATTAAAAACTTAATTCTTCCATTTATAAAATATCAATTCAGTACATTTTGTAGTAAAATATCAACATTTGAGCGAATTTTGTAAATTGGGCCTTTTTACTTGTCCTTAAAAATATTAAACTATAGTTGAATCTTAATAATATGAATGATTAATTTATTAAAGTTGTGTCTAGCTGATTATCCCACCATTTAACTGATTACCAGGAAACAAAAAATATTACCAAGAATTGCCGGTATCGACCAATAATTAAGGTATTTCAATATCTACTATCAATTGTTTCAATCCGACTAGTTGGTCAATTCCTTTTAATTTTGAAGCTACTTAAAAAATTCGCTCATATGAATATCTTAATTATGTAATGCATAGAATTTATATATATATTATTGTATAATGTGATAATTATGGATTTTAAAGAAATTTGACAATTATATACATATGCTTTTATTACGTATTCGCTTAAAATTCACCACACAATGCCACATAAACTACCTAAATTTAGTAAACGTTAGTCGCATTTTATGCGTCTATTATGTGATTGCATCTGCCCGGTGTCTCTATTGGCAGTCTTTTGATTGTCTTTCCCTATCCTGTAATATACGCGTAACAATTCTGGGATTCTGATTGTACATTGTTTTCGCAGGTTTGATGATTTTTTGAAGAGAAACTTACTTGAATAGGTGAGGGTTATATGTCCCCGTGGCGTGTTGGCATAAATAATTAGTACTATTTAAGAGCGCTTTCAAGCAGAAATTCGATCCTTCCCCTGAATAGTTGTCTATTGTTGATCATTGTTAGTGGTGCATCTTATGGATAGCACGAAAATAATTATGATTATAAGGAGAGGCAATTGTATACCGGGAATCATAAATACGTGCTACAAACAAAAAAAATCGTAATTTTGAGTTTTTTATTACGAGTAAGTATAGTACGTACGTACATGATAGTTTTTTTTACAGTGTGACAATTCACGACACAAGAATGAAACACTTCATGAGATGCTCTATAAAAATGATCAGACAATGGACAACTACTCAGGTAAGGACTGAATATTCTCCTTGAAAGCACCATATGGGTAAAGTGAACTATGTTTTTCGGCATTGTTGATCCAATCGGGAAATAATAATGAGTACCGCCATTCTAGATGTAGCAATCATATACTCCGTTATGCAACATGACTATGTTCCTGGTATAGAACAAAAGAACCTTTCGGTATTCATTTGGTGCTTGCCTATAATCTCTTATGATTTTAAGGAAGCTGACAATTAAGAACTTAATATAGCCCGTTCATTTAACAATTACAAGTTTTAATGTAATAAATAATACAAATTGCATTTTTTTTATAAAAAGGTGCAAGGTATTTATAACGTGTGTCCAGACTCGTGCAAATTAGACTGCATTTTTATGCAATATAAATTTTTTAGTATGTGATATCAGTGCAATTAAATTTGGGAATAAAAACAAATAGCGATAATAATAACTAGCAATTATTACTATGCCATACCGTAATTGTTTAAATAATTACAAGTTAAATTTAGATCAAACAAGCTACATATTATGTGCATTGGCTTTTATTATGTTGATATCAAATATTGCGCTAGTTGCATCAAATAAGATAAACATACACGCATTTTATGTTTCTAAAATGTAATTGCACGCTCTAATTTATAAAAAATATATTATTTATTATTAAAACCTGTAATTGTTAAATGACAGACTCCGTGGGTTATATTGAGTTAGCACCTTCATAATTTAAGCAGGGATATTTATCGATTTTTAACGGCTGCCCCTACCTCATGAGGTGCGTCAAGTGTAACCCGGATTTGCATGAGGGGAGCATCTTCCTGCGTTGCGAATACAAAGTAAATTTTTAACTATATTATATAATTGGAAATTTTACTTTGTATTCGCAACGCAGGAAGATGTTCTCCTCATGCATCCGGGTTACACTTGACACACCTCATGAGGTAGGGCAGCCGTTAAAAATCGATAAATATCCCTGCTCATAATTTATGATTTATAAAAGTTTATTATTACTTTACGGTCAATTTGGTTATATAAAGTGGGATATGAACACCACTGAGTATCTATCGGTTATAGAAATTGAAAACTTCCAGAATAAAGGCTTATAATTTGTCACTCATTATATTTCCTAAGACCTTTAAAATCTATTTTACAAAAAAACGATATGACTTACCTTCGATATTTAATCTGGATTTTTATCATTACTTTACTTTACGGGAATGTAAATTCTGCAGAAATCAGTCTCCGCTGTCTTGTTCTAATTGAAGGACGTATTCCATCATCCCAAAGTGTTACAATTATAGATATTTCCAACAATCATCGTGTCGACTACCTTAAGCATGATATCAAACGAAAATGGCCGAGTCTCCAAGAGTATGATCCCGCTCAAATCACATTACACAAGATGACGGAGGGAATCACTTTGAAGAAAGTGGTCAGTTTCTATAATGATAACACTCAAAAAGGAAGAGAAATGCTTCCAATAGATTCAATCGCTGTTTACTTTCCCGATTCACCATCAGATATCTGCGAAAATTGCATTGATGTCGCAGTATACGTAAGAGGAGAACCAAAGAGGGATGAGCTATAGTACGATATATGTACCATAGATATCCAAAGTGATGTGTTTTGTGATTTAGATATTTAGCGATTTAATGTTTAGTATTCTGCTGTTTGTGTTTTAGAGGTTTAATAATGTTAAAGAGCCGGAATTTATTTTGTACGTTGTAAAAATAAAAAATAAATAAACGTTTACTGCTTGTTCTTTAAATATCTAAGGTTTCAAAAAAAAATTTTTCTTATTTAATTATCACAATAATATAATATTAGCTTCTTTGGTTCGCGAATTTCCAAATAAATACTAGAAACATATACCAAAGAATAGAAAATTTGACGAACCGGCTCCTAATACGTACAAAAGTCGGTAATTTATCTGAAGATAGAGATAAGGCAAAACCAAATGAAAGATGTATATTCGAATTTTGTGAAATTCCCATATCCTAATATCAATAATATGAAACGTCAATAACTTTCGTAAGACAATAAGTGTTGAATAAAAGCCATAAATTCCCAGTCCAATCTTCAAAACAAAATATCAAATGAAGATTTACATTAATGCTTAAAAACTGGTGATAGTTGCATTATAGAAAAACCAGTTGCTGTTTTAATTGATGCCGACATACGTCATTCATTGATCACAAATAATAATTAATTTTGGATTCCGTATTGACAGGAATCAATAAACGACCAAATAAAGGCTGCGCAAATTTTTTTATCAAATAAAAAAACTTTTATTTATTTGAATTCTATTTTTACTCAAAGCTCAAAAACCACCTATTATATAAAATAGAGATCGTCAAATTTCTTTTTTAACATTAATGGAAATTTGTCTTAATTGAATTCTATGGAGCTTATAAAATTACATTCTGCGTCACTCATTGGTACTGTTATATTATCAATTATGTGATATGTGATAAAAATTTTAATTTTATCAATATATCTTATATATTTCCCAACCTCTCCAACCAGTATGTTCGTACTATTCCAAAACATACATGTGATCGAAACTTTTAACGGTTTTGACGAATTCGAAAATTCAAAACCTAGATTCGAAACTTATGCCAAATCCGAAACCCTTACAGAAACTCAAAATTTAGCCGAAATTTATTTTTATAACTAAGTGCTAACAAAATTAAACCCGGAGGTGAATATTTAATTCTTTAGTGTGTTGAGCTTATTCTCCCAAAAAAATCATATTTATTAAATCATAAAAACATACAAAAAAAAATTATTAACCAACAAATTTGAAACTATACTTCGAATCAAAGTTATCACATTATTTCTAACTCATATTGTTATATTTTAATAAAGTAATTGAACAAAATATATACCATATAACATTAACTGTAAAAACGAAAAAAAAAACATTAGATGTAAAAAAAAAAAAAAAGCCAGTCGGCTAAAGCTTCTATTAATTTCTTAGTATTATTGTGGGAATTAGGCCAGCAAACCTCTTTGTTAAGCAGTATCCGATTACATGTCATTGTAACTTTGCTTAAAATATATGAAATTAAGAAAACAATTAAAATATATACAGCATACGAAGTACTAATCTCAAATTTTTGATGCTAAGTTCGATACAGTGAAAATTAAATATTCACTTACTAGTTTTAAAGATTCTCATCATTATCAATTACCATCAACATATTTCTAGCTAATGCTCTAACATTAAAATCATTATTTTGTTGATCTAATATGATAGCTTGCCTTTTTGAACTAGTTGTTACTTTATCTAAATTTGCTTTTTGATCCAGATTAAACTTTTGTAATCCAATATCTATATCTTTCATAATGTCTAGAGTATATGCTTGGGATGTATTTACTTCAGTATTAATATTATTGTTGTCTGCTAATGTATCTATATTAAATTCATCAATCTCATCAGTTTCATTATTAATAGCCATAACAGAATCTATTATTTAATTGTGTAATAAATTTTCTGGCATATCAATTGCATAATTAAGTAATTCTTGTTTAGCATTAGTAATATAAAAGGTGTGTAATTTGCACATTCTGTAGTTAAATTAGTACATCTTTGATCATAAAACCAACCAAGAACTAAAAAGGAGTGCTTACAGAAGCACTATGTGGACTTATAGCAAAAAGATGAAGTACTAATTCTTGTAGTTCCTATTCTTCCTTTTTATATTGAGCAGTTTCCCACCAAATAATTGGTGTATCCAAATTAGGATTGTATAGTTGATCAAATGGCACTTTTTTACTTTTATATTTTCATATTTGGGTAAGTAGTTTTTCACATAACTCTTGATAATGTCCCATATCTTTTCAAATTTGTGCAGCTGTTATATTAATCTCACAGAACTTTTCTATATCAATACCATAACCTAAAAAACATTATTATTTAATTTTAAATATATAATAAATTTAAAGCATAAAAATAATTGATAAACTTTATTACCATAATATTGCAGATGCAAATAAAAAGCCAAAAGATAAATATTATCAGAAAAATCATTCCAATGATTATTGAATTTTTTAATACAATAATTTTTGAATTGTATATTGATTTGATTTGGTAAGCGAAAAATTACATTTGCTAATAATAATAAGTGAACATAACAGTTAGCAAGATTAGAAGTTCTTGCTTCTAAACTTTCAACAAAAAGTTTTAGAGAATAAAGAATATATGCAATAAGTTAACAATCTTCATAAAAATTTTGATTACATAGAATATCTTTAATTTGAGTTTTAAGATAATTTTTGTGTTCTGAAAGAATCAATATAATAATTTTTTTAATTATTAAATACACACTAAAAATATATATTTTAATATGTAAAATTACAAATTAATACTTACTCTTACAAAGGCAAATTCAAGTTGCACAATTGAATTAATAGAATTCCACATTGTAAACCAACATGTTTTTGTATAATCTTTTAAATCTCTACTCTTAATTTTTAATACATTAATTGCATCTTTTAAAAATTTACATGTGGTATGTAATTTTGTAAAATATTGATGAATAGTACCTATTTTCAAATTGTGTTTTTTACAAATATATATTTGCACAAATCTTCTATAGCTAAATTAATATAATGTGCTATACACCAAATATTTAAGATATGAGAATATTTTTTGCAAAGAATTCTTTGTGCAACATGAATATTTGACCCATTATCTGTTATAATAACAGCTATTTTTCAGGGCCAATATTTTCAACTATACTAATTTTTTCTCCAAGAAATGTACCAGTATAGTGAGGAATACTAGAATAATTTTTTGAACACCAGAGATATTCTTTATGTTTTTCTGTAATTACACAGTAATCATAAATTAATTGCTCTGCAGGATTTGTCCATCTATCAAATGCAATTGTAAGATTAACTTCAGTTTCAAGAATTCATTTAACTTTTACATTTACTCAAGCAACTTCTTGGTCTAAAAGTGAGTTTGATACAATCCAGTGGCTTGGAATAGAATAAGTAGCACATAATGCATTGGTATATTCTTGAAAAAAGGGATGCTCAACAAGAGCAAAAGGCAAATTACAACATACAACCATTTTTAGTAATATATTATTAATTTGTTCTTCTTTACTTGGCAAAGTAGGAATATTTTCATAATCATAGTCTATATTACTTTTTAATCTACATTTTTTATTTGTTTTTGTAGTTGATATTGAAACTATATCATTATCTGAATCAACACAATCATTTGTTAATGATATTAAAACTTTAATTGTAATATCTGAGTCAACTTTTTTGCATACATACACAAGATGTGCTTTAAGTTTATTTGGTTTAGTAATAACCAAGTGGTCATCACAAAAAAAGCATGTTGTGGAGTAATATCCTTTAGCTACTTTATCTCCTTTTTTAAACCAAGTCTATATCTCACCAGGAGAACATTCACCTGCTTCTCTTTTAATTAATGATTTTTTATTTTTTGATGTCATTTTTTAAAAAAAAAAGAGAAAATTTTAAAACGATTATAAGAAATACTATCGCTATTGCTATTTCAACATTATTAGCTTATACATTGTTATCCTTTTTAAGAATTTTGACAACTGTGTAAAGCTTCAAATAAAATTTTGACATCTATATAATGGCTAGTATTTCATAAATAAATAAAATATTAATAACGCAATTAATATGTAATATATTAAATAACATAATTAAGCTATATTAGTGACGTATAACATACATAATTTTAATAAATAAATAGAAATACATCAACTAAGGTTTTAATTTTGGAAATGATCGTTACAAGCCAAAACTTAGATTTTTACAGGGGGATCACCAAAATTTCTGGTCAAATTGAATCGATCCTTTAAAATTTAAAAAATTTTTAGAAAATTTAAACAAATATTTCTCGATAAATATTTAACTAATTCCAGCAAACTCTTTTTTATTTTAATTCCACAAATATGTATAATTAAAACAAAAAAAATTTTATCGAATTTGGTTAAATAGTCATAGAGAAAACATTGCTTAAAATTTTAAAAAAGGTTAAAAATCTTGGAAAAAAAGCAAAAAACCATAGTAAAAACATCTTTTTTAAACTTTAAGCAAAGCTTCCTCAACAGTTATCTGACCAAATTTGATGAAATTTTTTTTATTTTAATTCTATATATATATAGAATTAAAATAAAAAATTTTTATTGAATTTAATCAGGTAGTCATTGAGAAAATTCATTTAAATTTTTAAAAAAATTTACTGCAGCTTCTTTTTTGTAGGTACTAAAACTTCAATCGAAGTTTTCTCAA